GTCCACATCGATTTTGACATCGACAATCGAGGGAAGTATCATTTGCCTTCGAGGAAATGATTTTACATCCTCAATGGTTATATTTGGAAGCAACAAAGACTTGTTGACTGTTTTTCGACTAAAACAATATGCAAGAGTGACAATGTAACATCATGATGCTATCAATTTTAGAGTAGAGACTGAGCAGCTTCTTACCAGTAAGTGATTATGAAGCCTCTTTATTTTTTGTTTTTTTAACATCTACTAAGAAAAACTAATGCTTAATGTGTATTAGCCAGTTGACAAGATTACGACAAGTATACGTGTCCTACTTTTTTGAGGAAAAAACTAAGGTAAACAGAGGGGTGAGAATAGTGGTATTTGATAGAGATTTGAGAACGTTGGCTTTGGATTCAAGAATGTTGGTACAGAAGCCAAAAAAAGGCATAACAATGGAAGAGTCGAATGCAATCGAACCGTTTGGCAGCACATGTTAGGCGTTACTATTGAGGACATTTCTTCACTGTGTTATATGTGTTGGAGTTACGGCGATTCACCAAAGGGGATTTTTTTTTTGCAGGTTATAAGCCTAATGTTGCATTCTCAATTTAGGTAACCTTGGTTTCAAAAGAACTCTGGTAATTTTGAAAGTAGCCCTTATGGTGACAGTAGTTCACAATGTGTGCATATAGCAGCTAGGTATTTTAAAGATGTTGAAAACTTATTGTTTTCTCTTTTCCACTGCAGGAAGTAAGATAAATTCACCTTTTGCAGTAATGACTACAAAGAATAATTAACTTTAAGGATATTCAATGTTTCAAAAACGCTTGAACAAAAAATTTTGAAGTTTTATCATTTTAACTTTAACGTTATTTCGCTGTCACTGATTTGTCTCCATTTACTCTCTTATAAAGTTTTGTAATCAAAAAACATATCACGGGTTATCATCAAATTCCTCTGTTTTCAAATGCTGCATGAAATCGGCTAGGCTTTTTCTTTGACATTCGAAAGCATTCAGACTGTTCTACGTACTCCTATTACGACGGAACTTCAAGATAAAAACAAAGTTGCAGTATTAACATCTCTAAAACAAACCGTAGGTCAAACTGTGCAATATCTCCAATCATAGTCAGGTCTTACAGAGTGTAGGACGTCAAAAGGCGGAAGCAACAATGACAACTAGTAAGGTTAATAAGAAATTGGAATAGAGATTACCTCGTAGATAACGATTTTGTATATGCTTTCTTCGACACCTTCATGAGGCCAAGTGTAACCGACGATGATTGATACAGCTCCACCGATCAGAAGTAGCAGTCCTAGTATGGTACAGAGACGACAGATGAAGAGTCCTCTTCGTTGAGCAGGAGGTGGTGGAAGCAGATACCTGAGATGAACGCTTCTTTTTCGGAAAAAACAGTGATTAGATTGCTTTCTGTACGTTTTTTAAACATAAGGATTACACTAAGCCTTATAGCCTCAAGTCACTGATGTTTTGATTTCTTGCTATTTTGAATAAGCAGACATCTCAAATTGTCACAATCATGCAAACGCTGCGTATGAAGTTATCTCTTATCAATACAAGCTTTACAGGATTAACAGCTGGC